CTTAATTTTTAATTTTAAAGCTTATGATTCATAATTTATCAATACTAAAAACTTGAATTTATATTTATTTTAATTTCCAAATCTTAGGAAATATTTAATAAAATTAAAATATGATTAATATTAATATTATATAATTTAATGATTAATATCAAATATTTTACTTAATAAAATTTAAATATAAAAAAATTTTAAGTATACAAATTATTAATAAGCTAAAATTTGTTTATAATTAAACTTCAGATTGAAATTTTATTAATTCACTGATCTGATTTGAATGAATTCAACTTGAATCAATCTTATTATAAATAGTAAATAAAATTTATTAGGCAAGAAAATTTAATAATTTTTACAAAATTGATATTATTAACTGAAAATCAAGAATTAAAATAAATATAAATATATTTTTAGCATTAGTGTATAATGAGTTTAAGTTTTTAAAGTTAAAAAATTAAGATATTATATTATTTTTGAAACTATATTATATATAAAAGTATGTTATAAAAAACTTGTTATATTTGCAGGAAAAAATATAATAATAGATGAATTCCTAATAATTTAATACTTTGAAAAATAAATAAAAATTATTAGATACTAATATTTGTTTTTTAAACATTTTAATCCCCAATTTCATATAATGTCACCTGGATTTACTAGAGTAGAATTAAAACTGCTTATCTGAAACAAAAAGAAAGAATGAAAAGATTGTGAAAGAGTGTAAAGAATTACTAAAAAACTAAATTAATAGTAATTATTAAATTTGATAAAGAATTTATGAGGAGGGTTTTCTTTAAAAGTTTGCCCTTACTTTTCTAAAATATGATGCTAATTGATTTCGTTATTTATAAATTACTTTTCTTTGCCCAACATTAAATATCGTGTTAGCCAATCAAATTTACTTTAGATCATGTGATTTGTGTATTATGTCAGCAAAAAAAAATTTATTTGCTTAGATTTCATGTGGATCACTAAATCTAAGCGTCAAATATACAATCTTTTATCGACGCTTCTGTATTTCCTCCATAAACTTTTTTTGAATTACAAAACAATAAATATCAAAATTTTATTTAAATTATACAAATATTCAAAATACAAATATATATATAAAGGATTTGAAATTAATAAATAAAAGTTTGTTCCGTCTATAAATAAATCACACGTTATACTTTGTTATCATTATAGATATTTATACCCAATTTTTGTAAAATTTCGATGGCTTTTGGTTGATTTGTCAAAGCAGCTAATCTTAAATATTTTTTGCCTAATTCAGCATTCCTTTGTATACCAAGTTTACCATTTAAATATAAGTCACCAAGGTTAAATTGAGCTGTAGAATTATTATTATCAGCAGCTTTAGTTAAATATTCTATAAAAAGTTTTCTATCAAATTTAGAACCTTGATTACCAACTAAACTAAAAGCATAACGCAATTGGGCATCAGCAAATCCATCATCAGCAGCATCTTTAAATAGTTTGGAGGCCTGTTTACGATCCTTTTCACCAGCATAACCTTCCCACAAATAATATCCTTTCCAATATTTCGCCCTTGTGTTTCCCAAGTTTGCATGTTCACAAAATATCTCCCATGCCTTTTTGGTTTCCTTTTTTTTATGTGCTGAAATCCCCTCTTCTAATGAACGAATTTCTGGTAATGATTCTATTGAATCGAGACAAAATTCATCCCCAAAGTCTGGTAGGTCCTCTTCTTTATTATCACTTACTGATACTTGATGTAATGTCCCATCAAGATCTATTGATTTATCTGGTTTAAGATCGGGTGAACTATTCCTAGGATCATAATATTTCTGAGCCAACCTATTTAATTCCAGAAATAAAAATTGAAGTGATGCCCTTATTTGTGGATCATCTTGCCAAGCTTAAAAAATAAGAAAAAAATTATTTTAAAATTTTTATTTTTTTTAAAAAAAAAAAAAATTAAATTTAAAAATATAAGAATCCCAAAATTTATTTACCTGCCATTATAATTTTCTTATATTCTTGCTGTAGCTCTTCAATCTCAGGTTTATCTCTACCAAATCTAAGTTTTTCCCTTTTTCCAGATAAAACCCAATCTTTAATTTTTTCCATATTCCAATTTTCGTAAGGGATTTTCTCAAATGCAAGTTCCCATAATAACATCCCAAAGCTATTAATTATTATCATCATCATTATTATTATTATTATATTTTCAATCATAAGAGATAAAAATTTTTTGACATACCTGAAGATTTCACATTTAGTATTATACGGCTGTTCTTTAGCGAGCTTCAATTTCTCGGGAGCTAACCAATGAACAACATCTGTCAATTCGGACATGCTTGTCGTGGCCGATGTTGTTAAACGAGCGTACTCAAATCCTGTAATTTTTGGTTCCAACCGTAATGTCATCATTATGTTTGCACATCGAATATCATGATGAAGAATTGCACACGTGTGCAAAAAGGTTATTCCACGACAAATATCTAGTGCAATCTGAACCTATTCCATAAATTTTCGTCATTAATATTTATTTCTTTTAATGTAAGCATTTTGTTAAAACGCAAAATAAATATTGTAATTACCTTTGCCGGCCAAGCGATGTCATAAAGATTATATACTTCCCTTAAACTTCCCAATTCCGCCCATTCTACTACCATCACCATTTGACTTTCAAGATGAGAAATCCCGAAAAATTTCAATATATTAGGGGAATCTTTTAATTTCCCAAGTATAGCTAATTGAGCTTGTATTTTTTTTGCATTATGAGTTTCATCTTCGGGGATTGATCTTGGTATACAAGCAACGTCCATAGTCATAGTTATATAATATTTCTTATAAATAAAGGGTTCTTTTTTACCACGACGATCATTTTTATTTCCAATTAAAGGGTCTGAAATTTCCCTTGCTTCAATTGTTGTTGCTTTCAGCGTTTCGTATATTGGCAAATCGGGTCGTTTTTGTTCAGTGAATTGATCTATTTTATCTTTCATAATCTTTACTTCTTGAAGAACTGTGTTCATTGTATCGTTACTTTCAATAATACCCCCGTGAATCTCAGATAAGAACTATAAATCGTGATAGAAGAAACGTGAATTAATTTCAAAATTTTTTTTAAAAAAAGGTTTTTAAGGAAAATATTTTAAATACATGCATGTTTCATTTGTTCAATATCTTCATTAAGACTTTCTTGGTCAAGCCTTCTCTGCTCTTCATTTGCAACAGCCATGGAAAAATGCAAGTCAGTCATCACAGCCTCAAATTCTTTAACTAGATTATGAAACCTATCCTTAATAGCGGAAGCTTTAGCATATTTCTTGAAACCTTGAATTTGTGATACATCTAAAATGAATGATCTAATTCTCTTCATAACATCAACAAAACGTAAAAATGCTTTATAGTAATCTTGTTTACGAAAATTAGTTTCATTTTCTTGTTTACGCCTTTTCAAGGTTTTGATAGCGAGGTCAGCTGTTTCGACTCTATCCATCAGGGAATTGCAAATTTTTTTGTTATATTGTGCATCTTCATATATTTGTACACATTCGTTTATAACTATTGTTACAATTGCTATTAATGGTACAAAAGGTTTTATTGCATCCCCCGCTGCTCCAACTACTCCCAATACTTGTTTTGCTGTACCCGTACTTGATGTCCCTATTGAATTTAAACTTTCAACAACAGAAACCCCAGCTGATAATAATTCCGAAGCACCATCTATCGAATCTTTTGCTTTCATTTTTTATATTTTTATGAGAGATAAGTGATAAATGTTACATTGAAATTTACTATGCATTTTATGCATACAAAAATTTCGGATTTACAGCTCCGGCAAGTAAAAGGTTCGCGTGAAACAGCATATAATCACGTGAGATACAACTATTGTATTCGAAAATTCTAGAAAAAATATGATCTTTATTGATCGACAACACTTTGGAACTTTGATTTTTTTTTAACCGGATTTAGCATCATTCGAGTTTATAGAATTCCACATGGGAGGATAGAATCTCATTTTAAGTCCTGGTCAATGCAACACTACATAATCAAAGAATTCTTTCCTCAAGGTGAACCTAATATTTTTTTAAGAATCTTTTTATACCCGGAATGATAGAACAAGAAATAAAGATCGAAATGGCAATTTAAAAAATTATTACAAACTTTTAATGTTAAAAAGAGAAGTCATTTATACGCTTACGAAAAGTTCAGTTAGTCATGTTAGCAAATAAAACTTTTATGTTGACATATTATAGAGCAAAGCGTAGATTATTCAATGCATCCTTTGCATAAATAAATTTAAAGTAGAAAATTATTCTTTTCCTACAATCGCCGAACCTTCTTCCGTTGGGAACTTTATGGTTTAGAGTTTATGATAAAGACATATTTCCGGATGGAAATCACTCAATGAAATAACTTCGAGAACCCGGAACCATTACAGGAATAATATTGATGAATATAAATATTGTTGATGCTCTTAAACTCTTTGATCATAATCGTCTTAGTACCCTAGTAGAAAACCCGATACGTTGATTAAATGGGGTCTTTGCAATAGAAAGGGGGGAAACTGTCGGGAAAAATCAAATTTACTTTTATATGCCAAATATGATTTTTAGGCCGAAATATGTTCAAATTTAGCATTAACTAATTTTTTATTTTTCCGTCAGTTTCCCCCTTTTCTATTGCAAAGGCCCCAAATAGTCAGTATAATCGCAAATATATCATTTTTGATTCGCAATGCAGACTTTTTTGATTCACCAAATCGTGTAACCTGATTGCTGTCCTTTTTTTGATTCAAGGAGTTTGTAATACAGTGATCACGCCCCTTTTTTTGATTTGATAAACGGGTCCTTTTTTTGATTCGATAATTGCACTTTTTTGATTCAATAAAAACGTGATTCGATAATATGATATTTTCGTGATAATTATTATTGATTATTTTACTTTATTGAAATATTTTAATATTGATCTAGTTTTCATTATCATAATTATGAACATACTTAACATGCCAAATCCAATTCCAATAGTGCTAATTACTCGCCAAAATCACTACTATCTATCATAATTTTTTGTGCAACTTCCAAAGAATTGTTACCACCAATATCTTCTAATATTAATCTTATTGCTGTTTCAGGAACAAGAACTTCCTGAATATAATCTTGTGGTTTTAATGGGAAAGAATTGATTGGTGTAAGAATGTGAGGATTTAGAAATAATTCAATTAAAATTTTGTAATTAAAACAACTCCTTTCATCCCATAATGAATGTCCTGGCTAATTTATATGAATTTTAGTCAGTATACTAATTAAAAAAATTAGGGATGTTAAATGGTCCTAAACGGTCCTAAAAGTCCCAATAAATTTGCCAGTTCTAGAGAAGATTTTTATTTTACTGGCATTATATTTTAGTTTCTAATGATAATTTGTTAATTGAATATAAATTAAAAATATATATTAAACTTATGCGGAAACCCAGAATCTTAATTTTTGAAACTTAGGACCTGGTCCTAAGGATTGGGTCCCACCTTGGTAGTCCCATGTTAATTGTCGATTTCAAAGTTTATATTTCTTTTATAAGTTATTCAAAAATTTATTATTACAATTATTTATTAGGGGTTACTTATTATAAATAAACAATCAGACTTTTCTATAACTCGTAATTTCAATATTTGTTTACAGTTATTTGGGACTGTTTAACATCCCTAAATAAAATAAACACCATACAAAATAACTTACCCTAAAGTTTTGACATCGACTAATCAACATCATTGGTACTGCAGCTGTTTTATGGACTTGATATAATAAATTGAACATTACCAGATGTAATTGTATTTTCTTTATTCTATAAATAATTATATAAAATATTTTAAGTTAATTTATTATTAAATAAAATTATTTGAACTATCAAAAAATTTTTAATACTTTATTTTTTCACAACTCTGTCTAATTCTTTTAGTCTGCTTTTTCTGTATAGAAAATGGTTGTAAACTTGAATTAATAGCGTTGTATTATTTAATTAAGGTATTTTTATTTATAGTTAATAGCATATTATTTGATAGATGTAATTGGTTTCATTTTCTTAGTTTAGCTGAAAGTTTTGATGGAGTACCATAATTACTTAATGCATAATTATTCAAGTCATCTGATCGGAAAGAATCATTTGTATAACTTCTAAATTTCCTAAATATTAAATATGAATAATAAAAAAATAAATAAAGTAAAATTAAAATAAAATAAAAATAAAGAAATTTAAATCAATACTTTGTAAATTATATAAGCGAACTATTTCCTGATATGTCTCACAAATATTTCTATTATAGATTAATAAGTTTTTATTATTATATGATAAAACCTGTTGTTTATTTCTGAAAAATATAACTAGTTTATGCTTTATATCTTCAATAAATTCATTCTGATTTTGTAACTTTAAATAATCATTATATACAGTTCCAGCCAAAAGTAATGGCGGTTATTATTTTTTACTTATTAAAATTTTTTTCTAATTAACCTCAAAAAAAGTTTTTTTTAAATAAAAACCAATAATTATAACTATAACTTTTATTAT